GCATATTAATAATCTCGAGCACTGGAGCTATGCTGCTGGTATCAGTAAGATTCCTTATGTATGAATGTATATGTGTGTAAAAACCACTGTGCCTTTTGTGAGTTTGTCAGTTCCCACTGTAAAATTTCAAAAACTGTGTCTGGTTTTATTGCAAGCTTTTGGAATATTTCGGATGTGATGAAATAAGTGTTTTTAAAAATACGTCAATCAATTTTAAACAGCAGGTTCCAGTCATGTGTTCTGACACACCCTTTCATTTAAATTTTGATTACAAATTGCCAAATTAGCTGATCTGTCAACCTGCATCTGATATATTACTACTTTATCTCTTCATCTTGATGATACAACTGAGTTATAGTCCAACTTCACCATCCAACATTCCCTGTAAACTAACTGCTATAAAAAGTACAGCTTTTTGTCTTAATTAAACCTTGATAGACAAAGCCAGTCAGATTAATCCTGAGATTATTTCTTATCTTCGGAGCAGCTCCTCTGATAAATTCTTGTGTAAACTCAGGTCTGCTCAGGTTACAGCTAACCGCATCTTCTGTAGTGAATAAAACATGACACTGCCTTCACTGAGGTCTGAATCACGCTCTTTTCTGTAGAAGCAACTTGTAAAGAAATTCCTCCCTCTGAAGGTTAATCTTCATCTAAAAATCAGAGAAACTGTGCGGGTCAGCTGCAGAGTGAAAACTGTTTATTGAAGATACCGTAGGAAGACACTGCAGGTTTTATTGATCCACTTCTAACTGCCACAAACCATACCTCCATAACGAGATGTACAGCAGTGTCAGCACAGGAACTACAGATCACCCTTGAAACCAGTGCATCCATACAGCTGCTTACATTTGCTGTCAGAAAAACATCCGGTGTCTCTTGTTCCCTTTCACATCAGGTATTTTATCCATTGTTTGGGCATCATCAGTCCAAACTGAACACATCTTCTTTAATTCACAGAGGAGCCTGTTAAAAAATAAAAACCAGTGGTAGAAGAAGTTCTCAGATCTTTTACCAAAGTAAAAGTTCAACTACAAGAATATAAAAAAGTAAAAGTCATGCATTCAGAGTACAGCAAAATGTTCTTAGACTATGAAAAGTAAAATGTCTTCTTCTGCAGTAAAATATGATATATGACAATATTAAATTTTGAATACTGATGCATTAGTGTGTAAGCAGCATTCCACTGTTGAATCTGGTCAAGGTGAAGCTAGTTTGTAGTGTTGCCCAGTGTATCTGTGACTGCTTCATCCTTACTTTATTGCTGCCGACATGGATTGCAGTGTTGCTAAAGCTAGTGGTGGTGTGTGTCTGGGTTCTCCCCGTGTGACACCATTTCCCTCAGATTAGCCTCTAAGACGGAAGTTCTGCCCTCAGGCAACAGTGGCTATACTAATGTAATGTTATGTAATGGCGTCCCCAATTGCTTGCCGGTGTTGTTTAACCCTGTCATTGGAGGTATAGGCCAACATGATCACCAATGAGGCAGGCAAGATAAAACGGCTCATTCTAAGAGTAGAAACAATTTTTTTTAAGGTGATGTACACACTAAAACATAAAAACCTATGAATATCTATATTCCATTTCTGCCAAGTAGATCCTCTAATGTTACACACTGGACATTTTATCTTTAACAATGCATTGTTTTTGTGAATTGTGTTTTTTTATGTAACACCTTAATCTGAATAGTAACTACTAACTACATAAGCCACATGAATACAGTGGAGTAAAAAGTACATTTAGGTATGAAATGTACTGGAGTAGAAGTCGAGAATAGTGGTCAGAATGGGAAAAAACCCTTGAAAGTGTTCTTTAATCAGCTGATACATTTTAACAACTGCAATATAGAGTATATTTAATTTATGACTAATAGAATTTCATAATTCTGCCGCATTTATGGAGCAGTAATTGCAGTCTGTCTGAATGTGTGGAGCAGCCAATAGTGAAGACATCAGTTACAGAGACAAAGTTGCAACTGGAAAAAAAATAATAAAGGAAGATTACATAGAAATGAAGTACAGCAGTACAGACAGCCAGTGAATAAGTGAGCTGTGCCTCTGTGGATCCTGTCACCAGCACAGATCAGAAGGTAAAGTGGCACTGCACGGCTTCTGAAGCTGGTGGGAGTGAGCTGATCTCAACTCAGCACTAATCAGATTCCTTTTTAAAACTTCCCAAGTGTGTCCTGCTGAAACCCTGCACCACAAGTACAAAGAGGAGAGGATGTTTCCACAGCAACAGTCTAAGACGCTCATACTGGCCACTGTTGGAGCTGGAGTCGTGGGTGTTTAAATGTCAACACAGATAACATTTTTGTTTGTATATTGAACCTCTACCTGTTTTGTTTGGTTTTTTAATTCATGAGAAGGAAACTGAAATCATCTTTCTTTTGTCTTTACAATACAGGTGGAGCTTTTTTTCAGATGTGTGCTGGTGATTATTTGACAGCAGCGCCATCCGGTGGTATGGAAAAGCATTTCAGCAGCACATAATCTCCTGGCATTATCTCGCTTCCAATCTGATTTCACATCACTCCACACTAATGTCATGTGTCACTGAGCACACAGCATCTCTTTTTATGTTATCACTCAATTTATAATGGGTATTTATAGAGAGATTCAGTTAGTACTGAATCCAGATGTGTCTGAGTATGACCTCCATCTCATCTGAAGGCAAACATCATGACAAAACATGTTTTCATCATCCATTTTCTCCTTTATATTATGGAGCCAGACTTCTCACATTTAGCGCAATCACTGGAGGATGAATAAATGTACTTAAGAAAGAGTGCATATCAAAGTGAATTAATTCTATTCTCAATGTAAGTTGTATAATAGATGATTTACCCTCCACTCCATCAGATGATACTGTCAGGCATGACATACAAAAACATGAAGTTATAAAACTATAAACAATGATTAATGTTATTGTAGTTACCCGCAATGTTAAATATATATAGATCTGACGTAATGTAGTTGTTTGTATTATTGTATTAATTTAATTTTTATTAATTTTTGTCATTTTTTAATCTCTATTTTAATCTCTATTTCATCATTATATATATATAAATATGTCACCTTCCCTGCTTTTAATTTTTCTTTTCTTTTAGCGTCCACTGTAAAGCACATTGTGTTGCATGTTCTCAAATGTGTTATGTCTACATTAATTGACACTTGTTGATTAACTCATTAATTAATGTGGACATTGCCTGTCCCATATTTTCCAGCTACAGTCATGGTAATCCGCATTAGTCTGCTCACTGGGTGTATTTCTATCTGTATTAAGACTTATCTTAATGCCCAGTGACAATAGAGATGTTCAACCCAACAGAGGGAAGGTTTACTATGAGTACATGCAAGACATAACAGATATAATAAAGAGAAGACTGTTCCTGACTCCAATAAAGGTCCAGTGTGTAACATTTAGGAGGATCTATTGGCAGAAACGGAATATAATATTGATAACCGTGTTTATAATAGTATAATGACATGAACATAAGCACAGTTGTGTTTTTATTACCTTAGAATGAACCAGTTTTATCTACAAATGCCACGGGTTGCCTTCCACAGAGACCACCATGTGTCTACAGTAGGCCAGAACGGATAAACCAAACACTGTTTATAGATAGCGCCTTTTGCGTTTTTGTGAGTTTTTTGGGCACCATAGTTTCTCCTCAGCCTGTTCTCATTCTCAGGTTGTGAGATACAGACGCCAGCGGTGTTTAATTTGTTGCAATGGACAACTTTTCCGCCAGATACCACTAAATCCGACAAACTGGTCCTTTGACTGAAAACCCATTTAAGCCAAACACATACATATCCCATATCTTCTACACACAGACAGAATGAATCTGAGCTCAAGCTGCTGTTGCTTTAAAAACAACCAGTAAACCTTAAAATCAAGTCTGAATTCTTCAGTTGGAAGACGATTTAAAAAAGTTAACAAAAGTTAAATTGTCTTTTCTGTTAAAATCCAAGTCCCGTGTTCTGAACTGAACTAAAACACATCAACAACATCCTGATATGAGATGAAATAAAGAATTTAATTTTACAAAGGTAAACTAAAATAGAAATGGCTTAGCACTCAAAACACACAAACATTTCTCACATTGATGAAGAAAAACAAAAACAATTGAATTGTCAGTCGCTCAAAACGACTAAAATTATCTCATAAAATCTGCAGGCTTAAACTACTTATGTAAATGTGATGTTATTTAACTGCGGTGAGTTGTTTCTCTGATGAGCTGATGTTGATTTGGAAGTTCTTGATCAGTGGAGTCTGACTGAGGCGGAAGTTTCTCCGTAGTTTTCGTAGTTCACCACACCATCATCGTCATCATTATTCACCTGTGAAACACAACACAAACCACTCTTAACTGACAACTTTCACATCACTGACCCACATGTAACACAAGGAAATAAGAAATAATCTGACAACACCTGAACGCACCATCAGTCACTGTCTATCTGGATTCTTGGCTAATGGACAGCGACAGTTGAAGAAAGACGGGAAATGAGGGGCGAGACTGGCCCTCATTTGGCTGTCTTTTTACACATTTCTACATTTCTGCCATGGCAGAGATCTGCAGATGTATGGAGTCACTTTAAATCATCTCGGTACTGTATTCCCTATCGCCAAACTCCATCGGTCTCAGTGGCTGTTTGGTCCCAGTCCTGGTCCTCATTCATATTCCAAGCTACTGTAACTGCTAATGGAGAAGTCATGTGTAAAAAGACAGCCAATTAAGAAGCCCACCTGAGTGCTGACTGATAATTTATCTGTATTTCCAGCTCCAGCTCTTGGAGAACATACTTAGAGTTTTCAGCCATTAATATGTATGTATGCATTTACAGATTTGTCTACACATTACAAATCTCAATACACTTGCATATTTGAATACAGATTTGGAGATCCTTTCACGCATTTATAAATCTGATTATACACACAGGAACTGAGAGACAACTCTGCACTCACATTGGTAATAGTTTTGCTACAATTATAGCCCCATAGTTCGGCATCTTACTGAGTTTAAAACCTGCACAAACACAAACAGTGACATTCACAGTCCTGCATTACAGTAACAGTTCCCAGCAGCAGCTTATCATCATTTACACTGACTTACAGTCCCTGATCATTCATATACATTAACTTCAGTTTTTATTCTCAACTCACAGTGCTGTCATCAGGTGGTCTCTGGTTCCCTGGAAAATAAAGCACAGAGTAACATTTCAGCTCTAAACGTACAGTTTGTGTTAATCAGTGTGAACAAATGTTGGTCTGAATGTTCTCACCTCGAGCTCTGATGAGAAGAACAGTAATCACAGTAATTAGGAGGAGTTCAGCCACACGCATAACCAACATTATGTAGTTCAGAACAGACCAATCTGTAAGAGTTGTGGAAAATAAATATAAAATATAGCTATTAATGACAGCTGACGCCATGACACATTTTGAATGACAACTCCCTGAAAGGTACTGAAGAACGTTTGGGGAAATAAAATCTTTATTTCTTACCTTCTTGTGTTGTTGATCTTGTTGCATCTACACCTAAAAAAAATTAAAAATAAACCAACAAACTGTTAAGGGAGAAAACACTGTCATCCTTAAACTTTAAATCCATCAAATAATCAAAGGCAGTTTGTACACAGTCCCTGATGCATGTTCCATCTACGCAACAGCTGTCAAACAGGATTCAGAGTAAAGTTATGGTGTTTGAGTCCTCTTTACTCTTCTTTTTTCTTTGTAAAACTAAAATAAATACTGTTTTTGCACATTGTCTGTCATGCAGAACTGTTCGTAAATTGTCTTTCTTTGTACTTTATTGAATATTAAAACATTTTTGGATGCTTATTACCATGGTTGGGATTATTAACTACACATAATGTATAAATACGGGTGTGGTTTTTTTAATGATGCTGTTTCTGACTGCCTGATGTACATAACATTGCTTTCCTTCTACGTGTATACCCACCTTGTACAGTTAATATCATGGAGTAAATAGACCTGCACAATTAATTGCAATATTATCGAAATCGCAATACAGCCAGTGCAATGTCCAAATAGCAGGAAGTTAAATGTGTATTAAAACAGCCTTATGATGAAGTGTTGTAGTGCTGCAGTTCTATGGCCTACAGAGTTTGTTCTCAAAATGTAGGAAAACATTTATGTTTTATTTTATTTGTTTGTTTGGTACAGAACCCAACAAATTAACAAATCATCCCAATTTTTTATTCTTTTTTTCGGTGAAACTCAAAATTGTGATGTAAAAATGATAATTCCTACTAATCCTGAATCATATGGCAATCGCATTATTCGTCAAAATAATGGCGATGTTATTATTTTAACCATATCGTGCAGCCCTAGGAAGAAAACCCCTCTACCCAGGAACAAATAGGTGATGCATACCTCTACAACACTTTTGGATTCACAGAGGATGACTATGAACGCATTATTGTAAGAGACTCTCTGTTTGACAATGGGACAGAATCAATAGATGGCCATTGGCCAACAGAAAAAACTTCAGCATCTACTGTAAAATTCACATTCATTTACACAACAAGCAGAAGGGGTTGAAGAAGAAAGAGTGGGGAACGGCCCCCAGCCTAGAAAGGAGTGCCGGTGGATTGGTGGGTTGTGAATTTAACTGAAACACATATTCCCAGCTGTGGCAGAATGACACCAGCATTGTTATAAAACCTTCCAATAAAGGTGGTGCAATTTGCATAGTCAGATGTGAATTTCCATCAGAGAAACTGAACAGCAATTGTAAGATTTACTATTAAAAATTAGAAAAAAGTCTCAATTATAAGAAAGAACCTGATAAGAAACTCAGGAGAAATTACAAAAAAAGAATGTGAATGTATGAAGGTATCACATCCTATCAGTCCACCTGGTAGACCAATTGTTTCTGATACTGACTCACTAACTGAAAACATTTCTAGTTATGTAGATTTCTTTATAAAGCCCTTTATACTCTTCCATGCCATGTGCAGAACTCGAATGACATGATTAACATCATAAAGACAGTGGATGATCTGAGCATTGATGCAAGCTTTACTGTTTTCATATTTTTCTGAAATCCCTTACACCTAGGTGATTTTCATATAATTACTTTCCTTATACTTAAATTCAGTAACAATCTTACAGTTACTGATCAAACAATTATGTTGTTACTTGCGTTACATAACTTCATCAATAATCTACATAATGGCGTCCCAAAGAACAGGAATTTGAAGGCCACAGAATGTGTGCCATGACAATCAGGGGCACAAGGTACCCTTTAACATGTGTATGAGGCCAGAAAGCCTTTCTAACGTGTGGCTAACATTGTGAAACAGTCGCAGTTTGGTTAGTTTTAGGCACCAAAACTACTTGGTTAGATTTAGGCACCACCTTTTTAGGTTTGGGAAAAGATGATGGTTTTAGTTAGAGTAAATCCATAGCTGGACCTAACACACACCCCGCATGTAGACCAACCGATAGCATTAGATCTTTCAATCATTTTTTCCCTTATGTTCGATTTTTTAAAATATAAACAAAAGTCGTCTATAGGAACCCCTGCTTAATTTAGGTGATTTACGTCATGTAGCTTACGTAGCGTTAAAACTCAACTCAGCGTTAACTTAATGGTTTATGGTTTCACACAGGACACAAACCCTGGCCTCCTGGGTGAAAGTCCTCTGTTTGACCGATTCCTCCTTCATACACGGAAAGCCCGGTGCATTGAGCGGCGTGTCAAAATGTTGGTATTTGATGAACTGGGAAAGGACTGGACTGTGATATTATTACATCTGAGTGATTTGTATCCACATATTTACCACTTCACTGTGTGTCTACACTGTCCAACTGTGCAGTTTATGTGTTTATATGTTGTGTTGCTTATTCTAAACATTCTTATTCCATGTCAAAAACTGGCACCTACATTACCCACAATTCAACTCCACCGCAGACAGTGTGGTTGGACGTTCAGGTGTTATGCTAGTTGTGGTTTCCAGCACATCTAAACATGTTGTTTACGCCTAAAACAAGATCATGTGTCTATGCTCGTGGCTCTGTGAGACTGCACACAGGTACTAAATGCTACTGTATGCATGCTAACAGGGTCACATTGGCAATGTTAACATGTTAAACAGGTAAGTTTAGCCTACCATGTTCACCATCTTAGCTTAATTAAAATCTTTGATAATTAGTTACAAAAAGTAAAATGTGTGAATGCTTCTGCAGCTAAACCACTGCAACCATTACTGCTTTCACTACTACGCTGATAGATAGTCACAGTGCTCCTGCTGTTACTACTATAATACTTGGATTGGACTGTTTTTCTTACCTGTAGCATTGACAGAAACATTTCCCATCTCTAGTGTGCTCTCCACAATTTTTATCCATTCCCCTCCGGTTTCATGCGTCCATTCAGCTCCGTTGCATGCATAAACCCCTTCATCAGATGAATTCACTCTGGAAATCACTAATTCATACAATCCATACCTCCCAGGAACCAATCGGATGCCTCCGCTGGCGAAGCGCCAGGCAAACTTCTGCCCCACAACCACGTCTAACTGTGGGCCAAATGTCAGAATTTCCTCTGGTGTTGCTCCCTTCTTCACCAACCAGGTGATGGACAGGTAGGTGTGATGGGTGAGTTCTTGCGTGACCTTGCAGGACAGTGTGATGTCACTTCCTTCCAGGACAAATGAGGGCAGGGTCTTGGGGGAGACCCTGAGGGTGTTGGGCTTAACTGATGGGAAAAGAGAGAAAATAAACATGTTTGGACTACATTAATAACGCTGTAACACTTAACTTAAGGTAAATATTACTCAATACATATGTCAAAGCAACAACTTCAAGCTCAAGACACACACTCACATAGGAAAGACTATACAGGACAAGATACAAGACAAATTCTGTGTATTTCTATCAGACCATGCATGTTAAATAGTTATATAACATAGTGGAGAAATATTTGTAATTAAAGTAGCTGCAAAAAATTTAAATGTTAAAACCGAACGCTTCTGCAAAATGTTTCATAGTCATTTGTTTCCCTGCTCATGGCAACTACAGCATGATTATGGCTTTTATGGTTATATTTAGGCAAATCAAAGCACTCAGTAAAGGTTGAGGAAAGTCTGTAGACTTTATAAATTATTATGGAAGTCAACACTTACTTGAAGCACAAAACAGGGCATTTCTTTTCAGTATCTAACTACAGCTGTGACCTTTGCTCTATCTTAACAATAATGCTAGTGTAGAAGATGTGCAGTATCAGCATTGGGGTTAGGCAGGGTGGTAAATTATCTCTGTACTTGTTTGACTTGCTGTGTTTTAGGGTAATTTTATTATCATTCATGCTTTGTATGAAGATGTGTTAGTTATGTTTTATGTCTCTTTGCTGTGCTGGTCTTACTCCCATTATGGTGCTGTATATTCAGATTTAATGTCAGCAAGTGTTTTCTACTTAAAAGGTAAGGCAAGCAATTCCAAGTTATGCAATTCTTATCCAATACACGTCTTTTCAAAATTCACTGAATATCTCCTCACGATCCGCTAGCTTTCTGCTCTGTGTGTTTGTGCTGTTTGGCTCACACTAACTTTTTCATGCCAGCCAGGATTTGTGTGTCAGGTTATAGTACATTACTTTTCCATGGACACTTACTTTCTTTGGCAATAATGCAAAAAACATTAAAGAATTAGTCCATTAGTCCATTATCAACTATTGTTTTGATGATTTTTTGAAGCAGACACACACTTCTCCCATACCAATGAGTTGGACCTGATCCTCATAATTGCCACTGATGACGGAGTCAGTGCTTGGCGTTTGACACCAGTAGAAACCAGAATCCAGCACCTTCACCTCCGCTATCTTCAGCTCCACCATGTTGTCCTGGAGCCGCACCACCGAGATGTTACCTGACTCAACTCTATTCTTGAACAAGCTATTGGTGAAACTGTTGTCAAAGGTGGAGATTATTTTTATCCCATTCCTGTTCGCATCGCTGGATATCATCCATTCAAAATCCTGCAGGACAGAGTGGGATAATGATGACTGCCACGTCAAAAAGTCGTGCCATGCTACTCATTGAGTAAATTAAAAATTCTTTTAATAAAACAGGTTGAGGTAAATTAATTTAATAATCCATTTGGAGTTCCCTCGAAAAAAAGAAATCACAACTCATATTGACATAACAATTAAACAGCTCTGTAATTGCAGGGAATTCTGGGACCTAAAAGCAGAATGAGAGATGGACTAACGCATTGTTAGTTGGATCCTTTAAACTTCTTCTTGTTTAAACTTCGTACCACATACACCCACATGTGATGAAGGTGTAAAAGACACTTACCTGCTCATGAGGACCACCATACTCCTTAACTTCACATCTGATGGAGACTGGTTGACCCTCCACCCGAATTAATGGACCAGGAGACACTGTCACCACCCGTGCCATGCACCCACCTTCAGGGATGGAAAAATACAAGAAAATAACTCAGTTCATTAAGGTTTAGTAATGCAGCTAAACTGTGAGTTTCTATTGTTTTACAATCAGCGTTACGGGCAGAAACAAACCAGTGGACTGAGGCTGAATTTTTATGACGGTCCATCTTAGTGTCTGACTTTTCTAAGCAAACCCCTTCATGATTATTTTACAGACTTATTACATCCACACCCACATGAGAACAGCATATCAGTCTTCAACTATTTTAATAATAATCAATAAATTGTTTGAGTCCTTTTTAAAATAAAAATGTACTGCATTCACTTGATAAAAAAAATCTGATTAGTTTTTCTGAATTAACGAGCTATGTGAATCGTTAAATTCTAACCAAAGCCTACACCTGCACACCCAGGTGTGTGTAGACATGGAAGGACTGATTAGTTCAGTTCAGTCTTCTAAAAACTCTTAAAACTATTGTATTGTTGAATTCAGATATATGTTGCAAGGAAAACATTTCATGTGAATCTTATAAATAAGAAATAATAAGAAATAGCCATAGTAGTTTGTTTATTTGTGTTTAGACTGTTTCAGAACCAGTTGAAAACTCATTGTAGTACATTTTACTTCACTACATTTGATTTTTATACGTTTGCTACAAAGTGTAGGGGGGGAGCGTGGGAGAAGCCCCTCCACTGCAAATGCCAAGTTGCATCTGCAAGAAAATAAGCACCATCTATATATTGACTGAGATGCAATTGTCACTACCAAAACAGGGCTCAGTAGAGTTGGTCAGTTTACTGAGACTTTGCTTCCTGCAGGCCTCCACATTTCAACTTTGACCCTGACATGTGCAATTAACTCAGCTAAAGGTGAAGTGGGGATGCTACCTGCAGCTGGGATTGTGTGTGAGAATGTAGTGTGAAGAATGTAAGTGATTGTAGCTATGGGTGTTATGATGCTGTACTACAGATGTACTTATCCCGGTAAAGATTCTGATATTTCAATTCTGGTGCCAAATGCCGATACCAAACAACAGATACTACTAGTGCTCTCTTTCTACCCAAATTTAAAACCCTCACTGCAATTTGAATCCATCGATCTGGGGATCGCTGTGGCATAAAAAATGGCAGGCCATAATGAATGTCACTGATAGAGGAAGTGCTGAATTTTACTGACTTTGACCAAGAAACGTTATGGTTCATGTCATAGCTAATACCTGATCAGTTTAATAAGGTCAGTATCTGCACCTATACCAATACTGTATAGCGGAGTGACGCATCCCTTCACTATATTCACCACTGTATTCAAGTAATTGTTGAGCACATTGGGGACACTGCCTACTAGTAGGTCCTACTGGTCAAGAAACACGAGCAGTCAAAAGATCAGACAAGTTAACTAAACTTATTTGGAACAGAAATCAAAAGTAAATATTACCCAACCAATATTACCTCTGTTGCAATCATCCATTATTGTTGGTCCACGGTGGATGCTGAACTGCTACAGCTCGCAGACCTGTGTTTCTGCTGTAGAGCTGCTGCTGCTAGCCCTTTCTTTCTAAACTGAGTTTGCCTTTGGTAAATACAAAACAATAAAAGCCTTGGTAACAAATGGATTGGATGGAATGGATTCTTTCCACAGAAATACAAGAAATCTCAAACAGATACAGGAGGTGTTCAGTTTAAAAAATACATTTATATTTTTTTCATGTCTGAGACATATTCTACAGATATAGACATTGAAACTGTAGTCAAAGGTGTATCTGTTGTTGGTGCAATGTCGATATGACTCTGAACAAATCCGCTGATGGAAGAAATAGGTAAGACCTCGACTCTCTAGTGAATCGACGCTGGAGCCACGGCTGAGACATGCGTGAGACACACGCTCATGTGGGCATTATGGCTGCTCAAAACTGAAATAAAAAGCAAGACTTATTTCTAGAAGTCAGCTAAAATGTAAAATAAAATAAAGCAGCTTAGGTTTAAGGTGCTTCATAAACATTTTCTGTGCTCCAGCTGTTGTGGGCTTTTTCTGCTTGAGAAAAAAAAAACATAAAACCAACTTTATGTTTCAATTCCTGTTTACTATTTCTGTCAGATGCGGTCCAGGATTTACTTCCTTTCAGACACACCACAGGCTTTAATAAAAATGATATGGAAATATTATTGTAAAAATGTGTTGACATTACACATCAAATAAAAAATGTTCCGGCTTTCCTCTATATATTTTGTGATAAGTTCAGTAAATCCTTTCAGACAGATGCTTCTAAGCAGGATCTGGGAGTGGAGGAGATGACAGAGTTTAAAATACTAAAAAGTACCCTGGGATTATGGCACTTTTTGTTAGTGAAATCAGAAATGTATTGAGCCCTGGCATTTTTGACAGGCAGCTGCTATTAATGCAGAATTTGAAATGAGATCTGCAATTTATCTTGCTTCCAGCACCACTCTCCTTATTTCTATAGTACTGTTATTAAGCCACTGTGATCGTCCCTTTGTTACTCCCATCCCCAGTTTCCCCTAAATACTCACTGATAATAACATACAGCTGAACATGAGAGTCTTCACTGTGTTTTTGTGTTCTTTTAAGCTGTCTGCATTAACATCTTCAATTGTGACCAACTTTATAACCAGTAAACAGTTCTCTTACACAAGGCAAAGTGACTCCATCTTTAACTCTGGCAGTGAGAGAAGACAAACCTCCACTAACAGCTGTGGATCAAGGGGGAAATATTTTGAAATGATTTCAAATACGTTAAAATTAAGAATCTATTTTTCAAGCGAGACTTGGCCAAGGCAGTCAGCAGCATAAGTAGAAACACATACGGAGACTAAATAAGGAAGTCACATTACAAAAAGAGAAGTTTCTAATTATATACCTCCTATACAGAATCTGCCTCTTAATTCTTTAATTCTGGATTTAAAAGTATTTAACAAAGTACATTAATTCAGTTCCAAGCCCTTCCGCAATCAACTCCATGCCGAAGGTGCAGAACTAATGCCCTGGTTCTGATTTCCTTATGGGCATTTGGGACAAAGAGAAGAAAGAAGTTCTGTTATAAAAACATGGAGGTAGTGTGAGAGGTAGTGTGTGTGAGCATATGTCCATTTTATTTGATATAAAGGAGTACCAATGTAAGTGTCTATGAGTGGCCAGAGCCAGCCATCCTACCCAGCTCACATGACACTGTGCTACTAAAGTTTTAAATAGAAATTACAAAAATTCGAAACAGAAACATTCACAACACTGTATTATATTTTATGTTGTCTTACCTGTCCTATGAAGCAGCAGTATCAGAAATAAGGACATTTTAATCCATCTTAAATCAGACATCCTGCTCTCTCTGTCAGTGCTGCTCTTCTTCACTAATGCTTAGGTAGTGTTTCAGGAAGTGGTTTTGCAGTAACGTGCAACAATATAAAGATACATAAAAAAAAAAAGTGTCTTAAGTGTCTGTGGTGTGTCAGTGGTTAGTGAGGTGTAAGTTCTGACTACCAGCTTTCCTTGTAATGTAGATTCATGTAAAGACAGAGGTAATGGTGGTTTGTTCTTCTCACGATTAAAACTTCAACATCCGAAAGCATGCAAACATACAAAGAAGTTGGCAAATAAAAATTATATATTTACTTAAATGTGCCTTCTGCCTCATCTCAACTTTCTCATTGGCTTTATGTGTTGTAAGTCGAGCTGGTTCTGTGAAAGGTGGTCCTCAACTAATTTCAGCTCCTCTAAAGCTAGATCTGTGTTCACCAGACATTTTTTCCACTAGGCTAAATCGAATCTTTTAGAGCTTGTGTCCATTATGATAATCAATTGTCAGCCGATTATAATGCATTGTTTCAATATTTTGTAACTGTGTTCTCACTTTTCCACAATCAAGCCAAGAAAAGGAACAACATGGCAGACTATTATGATAATTCTATTCTAACTCTGCTTGCTTTGACCTCAAAATTCTAAATCTATCATTCAGATCCAGTCGGCCCTATACGCACACTACACAAACTGCATAGGGCATAGTTCATTGAGAAGATGAATGAAACAACCGGTCATGAAAAGAGAAAAAACATGAGAGTGAATTGTGGGATCAGTTTGATAAATGTCAACAGGCAACAGTGTTTATAGCCTGCATATGCACGTGCACAAAATGAAACTCACGCACAGCAGCAACCTGTACTAGTCCTGACAATATATGGGCATAATGGCACTCCTCATAGCCACACATCTACTCTGTCAAGCATTCAACCCAGCCACAGTAGTATTCAAGGGTGTAACTATATAATAGACATTTGGGGGGTCCAAATGAGAGTTATTAAACAGATTTTTTTAAAGTGCATTTCCCATGATTCTATGATATTTATGAAAATGTGCACATTTAGAACGTAGTTTTGAGGACTACATTGACATTTCAGGTGCTTACTGTGTATTGTTTACTGACTTTAACAGACCTACCAACTAGAATTATACATCTTGCAGTAGGAGCCAATAGGATAGCTTCCAGTGGGGAAATATGATACAGTATTGCCGCTAGTGGCCTGAATAAAGTTGCTAAGAGAGTCTGAAAAGTCACCAAGCTGGCAACACTCAACGATTCTGGGTGCAACCAAGTCTCGTTCTCCAAATAAAGCGCTCAAAAAAAGAATAACATATTTCCTACCATATATTGATGGGGACAGATTGGTACTTTTTCTGTCTTGGTTGGGACATGTTTCCTGCAAAGAATGCATGGTTACGCCCTAGAGTATTTTATATTTGAAAATGTATACATTTATTATATATAATTTAATTAAAATGATCCAGTTTGAAGGGGCCTGATGTTGCTGTTTTGAGACTTAAAGCTGCAGCCAGAGCCTATAGGCTTATGTTTACATCATATAGCCAAAGATAATTGTATAATACTGTTAGAACTAGACTAATTACCAGGTAGCAGAGCCAAAACTCAGTGTTTAATTTTATCATATTTTAGATTTCACATTTTCTACAATTTCTTACTTATGTTAATGTTAATATTCACTTATCAGGGCGCCTGGTTAGCTCAGTCGGTAGAGCTGGCGACCCCTATACGGAGTTGCTTCAGCGGCCCGGGTTTGAATGTGACCTTTGCTGCGTGTTATCCCCTCTCTCTCTACCCACCTTTCCTGTCTCTCTATAGCTGTCTATCAATAAAGCCAATAAAAGGCCAAAAAAATAACTTTCAAAAAAATATTCACTTATCTTAAGATTCTATAGGAGGACTGTAGTGGGAACACTAAGGGGGTCAGGTGTGTCAGACAATGGCAAATGGTCACAGTCTGACACACCTGACACCCCAATGGCTTATGGGTCAGATAGGAGACCCTTTAGCATAATTTTATCAAGGGCCCCAGAGAAGTAAGAACTGGCTCTGGCCCTCGGCACAGAATTGCTGTGGAATCTATCTTTTACCTATTTTATTTTATTTCTTACTTTTTATTTGTGCCATACATTCCTTCACTTAGTAAAGTAAATATCTCCACATTGGCTTTGGTGAATGGCATCACATGTGAATTTCATAAAGTAGACATATGAATAAGAAAGAAGAATTAACAACAGACCATTGGAAAAACTAACAACGACAAAAATAAAATAATAAATAAATAAATAAACAAACAAACACAGACATAGCAACTTTATGTTTTAGATCCTTTTTCGACATGGCTCTTATCCATGGTTCCCATAGCCTATATCTATATAACCCTGTCCATTTTTGCTGCATTTCTGCCATAATAAACATCTCATCCACCGTTTGTTGCAGTTGTTTTATGTTTGGGGGTTACGGCTGCCACCATAAGATTGTAATAGTTTTTTTTAATCTTTGACCTATTTTCTACATAAAACAACAGCCAACGACGCCGTAGATAGATTGATAAATCGATATTTCAGTCTTGTCGTTGAGATTTACGAGGTTATCACGAATGCAGCATGAGCACTGGTGCTTCTCTCCTCTCATCCTTTTGTGTCTCCCGTCCAATCAGCGCTCAGATGCGGTTTGCTGGCTCCTCATTGGTCGGGAAGGAGGAAGATGCGACGGCCATGGAGAATGGACTGGGGACTTTTCAAACCATCCTGCTGATGTGATTGATGTTCTCAGCTGATTTGCAGACACTGACTCGTCGCGGTATGTAGTGAGAGCTGCGGGTCGTTACGCACCGGACGCCGCGCGGTTTCGCTGTGTTTCTCTTGTGTCTTGTTTGTTTTGTTGGATCGGTTGATGTGATGTGGGGCCTGTCGCGCTGCCTTGAAGTCACTCCCTAGAAATGTAGCTTGGGGTTACAACACTGGTAAAGCTGTCACTGCAGGTAAGAAAGGGCTTGATGGGACATAGACATAATAAATGGCGTCGGTAGTTGTTATGGGGATCTCATTTGGCTTGTGGTCCCGGTTTTATACCAGACTCTAGACTTGTGGGCCTATCTGTGGACGGCCTGCCTGATTTAGCATGAGAGACTTCAGCCTGTAAAGCTGAAAATGAATGAACAGCAGAACTGTTCATACTTGTGACATTAGAGTCATTCAGTTTGTAATAGTGGGTTAAAAAGAGTTAAAATGTAAAAATGTGCTCATATATATGCATATATATATATAGAGTACCATGTATCCTATAATAAATATAATAATATGTGTATGACATGTTTAATATCATAGGAACTTTCAAGCAACTTTATTGTCTTATCACCAGTTTCACACTGTTTAGAGAATACATCTGAAATTGGTTTGCACTCTGATAGATGGAGCTGGTGTGTTGAGATGAAGCCTCAGCTGCTCTTCTCGTAGGTATTGCTGTGTGGACGATGCACGAGCGATGTCTGATGTTGAGGCCACGTACGCAGACTTCATCGCCTCCGGCAGGACGGGACGCAGGAACGCCATGCACGACATCCTGCAGAGTCCCACCGACCCCGAGGGACGAGAGATGCCCCTCACCCTGTCTCTGTCCCAGCTGCACATCAACGCAGGAGGGGGAGGTAAACTGATGCACTGGACTACTTCACTTTAGCTCTCATGTTAATCATTTATGTGTTGTACAAGCAGCAGAGAGGGCGAGGTATCCAAGACTGCTTTCCACAAAAACGTCAAACTACCTCGTCTGAGAGTGGAAATTTACCATGAGGGTCATTGTGTGTTTCGCATTGTAATTTTAATCATAATGGTGTACTCTGAACCAAAATTGTGGTCCAATCACAGTCCAATCTCAATCTCCTTCTCCTCCTAAAAAAAATATTTATAGGCAAGTAGTTCATTAAGGAAAATGTTTCTGACATAAAAAAAGTTTTAAAAAGTTTAGTAAAAATATGCTCTCCAGTTTGCATCAACCATCATGTGGCCGTTTGCAAATTAGTGATCTACAGTAGCAATAAAGGCTTTTTTGCTTTCGTGTTAACAGATGCTTTACAGTACATGCTCCAAAGTAACAGTAACTTAACACTAAATCCACTTTTTTTAGCTATTAAATTACATATACAGTCACGGTTGGACCATCTACTAATCCTGGTCCAATTTTGTTGGGTTTATCACTTCCCCCTGTAATTCTGTCCACTTTGTCAGGATTCAGAATACATTCAGAATTTGAAATGGGTGCATGTTAAGTTGCTCTTTAACAGGCTTCCCAAGGCTGTAAATTCAGACTAGTTTTCCAGTCATGGAAACACCTGCAAATGGATTAAAATGAGCAAATATCCTAGAAACAATCAATATTGTCCTAGAAATGTTTGTATTTTAGCCCCTCAATCAGATTGCCTATGTAAACCTATGTGCATATTTTGTTTGAAACTGGACTTTTTGTTGGATAAACTGTATGACACTTCAAAGAGGGTTCATCAGACGCAACGTGAAACAGACTTTCAGTGATCTATTTGGTATCGATTGGTAGTCTATTTTTTCCAGAGCTGCGAGCATAATTCTCTATTCTTCTATCTACATACATACAGTTTATAAATGATTACACTGCATCTTGTTGCTGTGGTTAATAAATACATGCACAGTGATGTTAATTGTAAACAATTTAACTTTAATTTAACTAAAATAATATAAATTCTACTTCATTTGTGCTGTAACTTATGGGCTTTGGCCACATTAATGTAATCAATTTGCCTGAAACGGCAGCTTATGTGACCCTTTGTTAGCAATGCTGTCCTGTATCATCAAGAAAAAATCCTGGCAAATGTCCTGGAAAGGTCCTGCAAATTCATTTGATATGTCCTGTTAAAAAGAGCAGACCAAAAACAGAATATGAAAGTCTAAGCTGGCAGTGTTAGCTCCTACGCCAGATTTTCCTGAACAACAACTCTTTCACAGAGGAATTTTAGTCTTTTCTTGCACTTACATAATTCAGTCAAAACTTCAGGACGTGCAGGTTGGTAAATAATGATGGTCTTTTAGGTCTGATGAGAAAAATAGCACATTTAGAAAATCAGTTATCCTCTGAATTGCAGCATTGTTGTGAATTGCTTCCTGCAGGATGGCAAAAGGCATTGCTCAATATAACAAGACTGACAACACTTCCTAACTGAAAGCGAGCAAGCAAACTCTGGCGGACGGAGCGCGAAAAAAGTTGAAATGTTGAAGTCTATGTAGACTTCTTTGTGACTCTCTGATTTCCTTCTAAAGCTTTTTGAGGATATCCTTATAAAAAGGCTGCTGTAGATCAACCTCATAGGTTAGTCTCATCCTCATCATCTCTGGCAGAAAGCAAACTTCTCCTACGTGCCCGTGTTGACTGCTGACTAGGACTGCACAGCCAGACCTCCACACTTTGTTTTAGCAAGTCTGAGTGGAACAAGTGCGCAAAACTTTCCAAAACACGTTGCTCAGCTGTTCGCTGACGCACGGAGCAGATTAGGACATCTTGTTTGGCAAAAACTGAAACAATCAGATGTTTCCTCCTTTGCTTGTTTCCAGTTAGGAAGCTGCAGCTCTGTTAGTGTCTGTGTGAGCTAAATGCTAACATTGAGAAACATGCTCACAATGACTGAGTGCTTATATACAAATGTTTGGTAGGTAGCATGTTCACCATATTAGCATGCTAACATTTTCTAAGTAGTACTAATGACAAAGTACAGCTGAGTCTGATGGGAATGTCATTAGCTTTGCATATATTTGGTCATAAACCAAAGTATCTGGCACAATTCCATGGCAATCTATGTAATATTTCTTGAGATATTTCAGTGGTGGACCAATGGACCAATCAATAGACAGACATTGCCATCTCTAGAGCCACTCCACTTGCGAGGCTAAACGTTGAGGATGACTGGGACCCAGTAATATAGCCTAAAACATGCAAAAACACTGATATAATGCAAAATATGTATGTCCTGTAAATATACATTTTCCTCACCTTCCCCTTTTTTTCTGTAGATGGAGACGACACTGAGGACAGCCAGAGCTCCTCTTCCTCCTCAGCCCACAGGGGCGCTGAGCAGAGGAACAGCTAACCTTCCACACGCTCCTGCCAGTGGACAGAGAGTTGCAAGATGGATTCCAGCCGCCATCGTGATGAAACCGTTTATCCAAATTGGGCTGGTAGCCGGAGGGTAGCAACACCACTGTTGAGGTGCCTATAAACAGGCAACTGACCCCCAAAATCCACCGTAGAGGCGCTGTGCTGGGATGTGATCACACAGTGCTCTCATGTCCCTGTGGCCCTGCTGTGCACTAGAATAACAGACTGTTGGCAAGGGTGTATTTCAAAGTTGGGGTAAGTAGAGAGACACATTTGTAGCTCTTGTACAGCTGATTTTACTTTCAGTCGTAGTTACTAAACACACAGGCTGGAGGATTGGGATAAAAAGAGAAAATGGACAGAGATCCTATGTGAGTTTTGTAGTTGCGCAAGCAATTTGTAAGACCACTGAGACGTGCTGATATAATGCATCACAGTGGGAGTAGCATGTTTGTAGTGATGCTGATAGAGATTATATTGCCAGCTAATGGCTTGTGCTTCCTTGACAATACTGTAGATGGAATTTGACTACTCAGCTATAGTAGAGCTGGAAAACACCATGAGCAAAAACACTGGGGCTTGGTTAGTTTATCTGTTGAAAGGTGTGTTCACTGATTCTGTTGGACTAAATCCAGTCATATGCTGAATGTGAAACTGGCCTATACTGTAAAAAATAACCGCACTGGAATGGTGGTGTGACAGTGTTCTGTTGACACCAACAATACATAATAATACATTTACAGTGAGTATGGATGACATATTTCAATGGCTCGTTGGTTAAAAAAAATAAATGTTGATGATCTACTCTTTTAAAATGTTTATACTTTTGTTTTTTTACTTTTCTAATGATGCCATTATTATCACAACCTTCGAGGAGTAGTTTGAAATTTGGGGAAAATACGCTTATTTGCTTTATTGCTGAGAGTTAAATGAGAGGATTGATACCATTTTCATGTCTGCGTGCTAAATATGTAGTTGGAGTCATTAGAAGGTTAGCTTAGCTTAGGATAAAAAGTGGGAACAGGGAAACAGCTAGCCTGGCTCTGTCCAAATGTAACAAAATCTGCCTACCAGCTGCTCTAAGGCTCACTAATGAATATGTTATTTCTTGTTTGATAAATCTGTCCAAAAACTGAAATGTAGAAACTACAATTAGCCATTTTACAGGGGGTCATATGTTAAACTATTTCTCGTCTGGGACCAGTTGCCAGGCGGCCCTCGGACACTCCAGGAAGTTTTTGGTCTTTTCTGCAACACAGTTTTTGTATGGATTGAGCAAATGAGATATAACATGTTAATTATTGAGCCTTATTGAGCTTTATTGAGTTCTGGTAGGCAGATTTTGTTACCTTCGGACAGAGCCGTGGGCTAGCCCAGTTTTTTCCCGTTTCCGGTCTTTATGCTAAGCTAAGCTAAAATCTGTAAAGGTGTGATATCAAAGGGGCTTTTGATACCTCACGACCTTTGACCTGCGATCTACTATTTTTTTTAACTTTGTTGTTGTTTTGGTGTTTTAAAGAGTATTAATTAGCTCACAGATTAGCTAAGTGTGTTCCTACTTCCTCTCTATGTTCATTCGTGTACTTCCTGATTAACAACAACTAACAACTAACTTGTTTTGGGGTTTTTTTTGATACGAGGTGTGGATTTATTATGACTTATCTTAATAGATAAGCTAGTTAGCGAAGCTAAACGGCATCTGGCTCCATCTACACATTTAGCATACAGACGTGAGAGGGGTACCAATCTTCTTATCTAACTCAGCAGTAACGTAAACAGGTGTATTTCCCAAAATGTCAAAATATTCTTTAAATGTAGATATGCAATACTCAGTGGAGCTTCCAGTAAGTGTAATGTTTGTGTGAAAGTTTCTCGAATGTTGAGGCTGAACTACATTCCTGCTTTTTTGTGTAGTAACGGATACATCCCAAAATCATCATCCACAAAGACCACCACGCATGCACTGTACAAACTGTGTATTCTGTTATTTTATCCCCAGTATAATCTTACTGTAACACTGCAGCTTGACTGTGTCTCATTCTTATTCATACTGATGATAATAGGGCAACTATAGCTCTGTTTATAATACTCATTCAATCAGGTTTCCAAGTTGTAAACTGCCATGTGACTGTGTAGTGACTCACACCTGCTTCAACAACACTGTAAACCCAGCTGTTCATAATTCAGCATGTAGAAATATGGCAGGTGCATGATTCTGCTAAATGTGTAGGTGCTGGTCTGACTGTCTGTAAGCATATTTTCTACCCTGTGTGTCAAAACAAAATAAATAACTGATGACGGTAAAATGGAACATTTCTTATCTTGTTGTATTTCTGCCATTTGGCCAACAGGTAGCACTGTGGGAGAATTTATAAAACTAAACACCTAAACATGCATGACATTTAAACTGTCGTAAATACTAAACTGTATAAATGTTTAACACACATGCAACCATTATTAACAATGTCAAAATTAAGTATTTGATGAAAACAAATTCTGTTAGTTCATGTTTTTTAGACATATTGTAAAACTATACTAAAAATATTCTTCTTTAACATTAACAAATGTTAATACTTTATATACAGAAGTGTTTCTGTATATAAAGACGTAAAGGACCATCTGTCTGCTGTCTCCCAGTGTGTGTGTGTGTGTGTGTGTGTGTGTGTGTGTGTCTGTGTGTGGTGCTGATTATGCAAATAATCATTAGACAATTGTACCAGGAAGTTTCAGTAAGAAAGAAAAATCCCCTGACTGGTTTCTCTGAAGTTCCTCATTCTGGTGGCTGAGAGTAACAGTCCTGTCTGTCGACCGGCTGGCCCACTTGCCAAATACAGCCAGTCTGTCAGTCCGCCAATCTGATGAAAAACACAGAGAAGAAAGCTGAGGACTAAAAACTGTTTCCTTATCCAGGGATATACTCACTCAGAGAGGTAAGCACAAATGCATGCTATGTGTGAATGACACCAATCAGAGATGTGCATCAGGTGAGTCTGTTCTTACTCACTCACACACAACAGAAGGGTTAACTGAGTATAATGTGTAGGTAAAGGTACATTTTGACTGACTAGACTGGAAATTATTGGCTTATCTGTGATTTTTTAATGTCACAATCCATTTCAGAAAGTTACTTTGAATATAATTTTTTTTTTAATGTTTTAGCTATTGTTGGATTTTCCTCAAACCTCACTATGGATGATTTTATGGAACTTCAAGTATGGTTTTGTCATAGTTTTGACAAACACCTCTTATTAAAAGAATATTTAGTAAATTGTAAGAAACCACCAGTTAAACTTTAATTGGTGTAGGTCTTAGGTGGCTATGCAGTATTTGTCCTTATTTGCATTAGTTGCAGTGAAATTCTGCAGTGGTTCATCTCCTCTCTTAATCTTTCATTTCTTTACCACTCCCGTCTTTGGCTAAGTCCATTGTTTAAGGAGGAAGTTTCTATAGTGGTCATGGCATAGCCCAGAGAGTGTGTGTGTGCGTCGGCTCCTAATCTGTTCAGATCCTTGGTTTCCGGCTGTTTGCTGACTGTCAAGTTAAAAATATAACAGAGGCACTGAACCAATGAAACACATAAGCAATAACAAACTGCCAAACTGTTGGCTACAAAACTTTTTTATGCACCTAACCCCAGCACCCATACTGATATTTCCATTTAAACATTGGTGGTGATGGTGTTTGAACCTTTTTTTTTTTTTTAACCTAATTGTTGTCCAAACAGTGAGATCCATTTCAGCCCCTGACCTAAATCTGACACCCGAATATCTTTGAGGACAGTAACCACTTTTGTTTGCATGCCTCAAAACTCTATTATGTTATATGATATGCTGCTATTAGAGATTTTAATGCTTTTTGTAAACCGTAAAACCTGACAACATATATTAATAAAAGAAGAAGAAGTTCACATAAATTAATCCTCCAAACAAAACTGGACTCACTCACTTGAATTAAACAGAAAAATGAATAGTTGTTTTGAGTGCATTTAAATGTGTGCAGTATTGGTGATATATTTCCACTGACTCATTTTCTTGAAGTTGACTTTATATCATTTCAAAAGTGTAAGCATTATAAAGATGTATAGCTTCATTTTTTGATAATCATTTAATTATAAATTGTTTTTATTGTATGTCAGCTGTTTTGACAGGTAATGTAATAAGTTGCCTTAGTGGATGAAAACTTAAGTAAAACTTGTTGGTAACATTTGTATAAAGACGATGCATTTAAGTTACTTTATTCAGATAAATTATGTTCACACATTTTAAATAAGTTTGGAAAAAGGCTGCATATGAGTGTAACTACAATTAACTTCATTTACCTGAGTTACCTTAATAATAAATACTTGAGTTACTCATAATCTCAAAATCAAATCAAAACTTGAAATCAAATCAAAAATGTTGTCATGCTTAAATTGAGTTAATAAAGTAAAACGGTTTGATGCTGTTGAACCAACTCATCAGGTTTTACAGTATATTGAATGTAGGTGGCTAGTTTTTAGCCAGGCTAATGGTGTGGCTCTAGGTATAGCAATGTCAGTCAGTCCACCAATTTGGTCTGGACTGAAGTATCTCAACAAACATTCACGTTGACATTCATTTCAAAGTTTTCACTTAACAACAACTAAATGGATTGGCACAAAATGATGTAGGCCTACATACATTCATGGTTCCCAGTCGATGAATCCTTACGACTTTGGTGATCCCCTGACCTTTACACTGTAGAGTCCAATGAGGTTTACATTTGAGTGAAATGTCAACAGCTTTGGATAGATTGCAATGAAAGTTGGTACACACATTCATGTCCCCCTTTGGGATGCATTGTAATAACTCTGGGAATCCCATCGTTTCATCTAGTGCCATCATCAGGTCCAAATGTCATTTGTCCAATCCTTTGGTTTATGATTAAAAACCTGAAAAACTAGTAACATTCAACTTGTGTTTACTGCTCATTAGCAACTGTTAGCATGCTAAAAGCCAAAAGCGTTATGTCTGCTAAACATTAGCAGCTTAGCTTTGTCATTGTGAGTGTGTTAGCATGCTGACTAATCTAAGATGGGGGATATGGTAATCATTATAGCTGCTAACATCAGTATCTCAGCTTTGTCAGAGAGAAAATGTTGCCATGCTAGCGTTAGCATTAGGGTCAAAGTGCAGCCTCAGAGAGCTGCTTGTATGGCTGAAGAGTCTTTGTTTGTCTTCCCTACCCTTGTTAAAGATTCATGTCATATTAAGTCCAGTCCAGTCCAGTTCTTCATTACTACACTTGCTTTTGCAACCTGAATCTCACGGAGGACCTCATTGTTTAGCATGCTATTACTCAAACATATATTACAAACTTAATTTCCTTGGGGATAAAAGTACTGATCTTTATGATTTTACTATGGATTGTTTATGGTTGGTTTTTCTTCATAGGTAATTCCTCTTGACCTATGACATGTGACCTACTTTGTTTTCTGACTTGCCAGACACAGCATTTAGTTTACGAGTCATTGTCCCCTTAACGTTCTAGTTGTTCTGCTGTTTTAAAGAGCATCCACTGGCCCGCAGGACAAGCTCAGGCTGTTCCTCTTGTCTGTTTGTGTCGTTCAAGCATGCACTTTAGTTTCCTGTTTTATAAAACAGGTGTTGCATTATAACCAACATGTACTTCTGCTACAGTGATGGCTCAGTTTCCCTGCATTGTATCAATACAGTTATTAGTCTGTCTACAGTCTTATCTAATATAATCTTAATATTGCATTAAGCGATTAACAATGAGGAAGGAAATATTAAGTATTTAATCAACAGTATACTAATAAACCTGAACTGGCAACATAGTTAAATATTCTCTAACGGGTCCAAAGTTTAAATAAATATGCCAGGTTTCACCAGGGAAGAAAACACATCCAACAGAAGCTGTGATGGATGTTTATGAGTCTGCACTGTTGAGAGCAGCCTTATCACATTTCATTATAGCATAAGGACACTCACATGATCCCAGTAAATGTACCACAAAATTTCTTTATAAATTATAAAAATGTATTTATAACTATGCAACCTAGCAAGGTGTATGTGTCGGTGTGTGTTTCCCTTAAACTTAAACAGCAGGTGACTTTGGGATGTGTACTAACGACTGTTCTGTTTTTCTTTTTTATGCTTTTTTAAAATGACTGCGCACAGCTGAGAGTATAACGTGTATAAAGTGCCAGAAGGTGTCAATGAAAAGAATTCCAAGCACCCACATGCTGTGAAGCTGCCAGTGTGGCTTAAAAAACAGAAGCCATAAACCATCCATTGTTAAAAGGCTACTATACACTATCACAGAGCTTCACAACATTTTGCATGAAATACACCTCATTCACACACACATCATATACTACTACTACTACTGCTGCTACTACACTCTAATCATCGAGGTTATCTAGGTCGTGTTCATTTGGTCTTTTTCTTTAGTGGCTCTTTACAGCTTCCCTTGTCACACAGGAATCTCTTGAGGTTTAAGTGTAAATGTTATGGTGTGTCAGTGTTTGTGGGCTTCCTGCTGGTAAGCAGAAAACAGACCATCCCAAAGCCACAAGAATAAAAGACATTACAGAAAACTGCAGCAATAAATCTTCTATTACACTGAATGGACTGGGATAGGATGCATACAGCAGACCAGAGCACTGTGAAGTAGCACTAATAATACTACAGTTTGATAACTACTGTTTCTTATGGATTAAATATTTGAGGACAGATTATATTGACTATATTGTGCGTACACTGGTCAACCTTTAGGCCGCACATTAGGGTTTAGGTTTTTTCACACCTGCTGCTGCTTGTTAGTTTCTAAGAATATGGGCATTTCCTGAACATGCCACTGGTTTGGTTCTGTGTAATTTTTCCATGCAACAGCTGAAAGGTCACAGGTGTTTGGTACCAGATATTTTAAATGTTTGTTTCATCAGCTCTATGGTAAATGAGTCACCATCCAGTTCTCTCTTCCTTTTTCTCACTTCCTCATGCAGGCAGGATGGGCTGTATGAAGTCCACGCTGAGCGAAGGTCTGAGCGGAGTTGTGGAGGGGAAGATGAGCCAGCAGCCTGTACGTACTGAGCAAACGCACTATGTCAGAGACCCCACCTCCAATACAAAAAACAACATAGTAAGTAGTCAGACAGCTGCACTGAGCAAAACCAGAATTTCAGTAATAGACAATAAGACACATTTCTGCTCTCTGAGATAACTTATGTAAAGTGTTGTGGGGCTGATCTCAGCACACACTGAAAATCAATGAAAAGTATAAAACAGCATTAAAACATGCATTTCGGGTTTTAAATGTGCCTTGGTGAATTAAAGATTGAACAAAGGGAATAGTAAAAATGGAAATACCCATAATCTGTGGACAATTTCAATTCTTCTCAACAGAGTATTTTATAATTCAGGTACACCCTTTGCTATTTATAGGGAAATAGTTACTCAGATACAGAACTTCCCTTTCTCACACAATGACGTCTTTCGGGAAATAAAAAGATTGTGAAAGACTCTAGTCTACATAACTATGTCAGTTAAAATAATGGAAGAGATAGATAGATAGATAGATAGATAGATAGATAGATTAGAATAGATAGATAGATAGATAGATAGGATAGATGATAGATAGATAGATAGATAGATAGATAGATAGTAGAATACTATAACTATTGTGTTAGGTTATTGTTCTCTCTGTTATCATATAACCTTTACATTGTTTCTAATAGAAAACTCTTGTTCTGCAGTTGCAGAATACCTCCCTGTTACCCGGTCAGGTGTTCCAAAAGCTGGAAGGTATGCAACATTCTTTCCTTCATGATGTTTGTTTCATTCTCTCTTAGGCCTACTTACTTTGTGTTGTACTGGTATAAAAACACATTTTCCATTAGTAAAAGAAAAGCCAGGAAAGCTAAGTGAGTGCTATTCCAGAAGTAGTCTACCCTTGTTTGGACTATATGTTTAACATTTCTACAAACACGTTACTACAGTTTATGACACCAGTGATGAAATTAAAATTAGGTCTGAAGCCTGCATGAGGTAGCTATCTAGGTCACTGGCCTTGCTAGCTGGGTATTTAGTTGTCATTGTAGTATTATTTAGGGGTTTCCTGTCAAGAGTTTTCTTAGTACTGTACACACATGCCCATATGTACAATGGAAGTGGCCCCTGTTATAATTTCTGCTCTCCATTCTGCATGTGAAGTAGCCTAATCTCTTCCCATCTTCCACATGCAGCAGTCTGAGTTTGCCAAATTAAGTGTGTATCTAAAGTCATTTTAGAAAATTCTCTCTTTGTGTCACTATTCTACCGTCAAGGGCTCAGCGAAACACTGTACAAAGGCCCACTTAAACTGGCCAATCCAGGACTGCTAAAGCCTCATGTTAGCTTGTGTCTGAATTTTAGAATGCAGCGATCAACTCATTGAATACGGGCTACATATAGACATGTGATGGACTTCAACATTTATGAACTTTTAATGTTACCACATTGTTAAATGCTACTAAATATCCAGTTAGTAAAGCTAGTGACCAAGCTAAACTACATATGCCAGACTAATGTTAGCTTAATGCAAACCATCACTAGCATGTTGGTCATGAATGCTGAGCTTTCTGTGTCTGATGTTTCTGAATGATGCACAGACTGTAGGATAAATAGGCCATGGGCCTGTTTGTTATGTTGTACAGTATTTAACATATCAATATGTTTTTCTGTTTCCCCAATTAGAGCAAAAGGGGGTTGGTAAAACAATGGTCAGCCTTTACCCGTATGAAGCTGTGCATCCCGACGACTTAGGATTCAAGAAGGGGGAGAAGATGAAGATCTTAGAGGAGTGAGTGATACCATCTGATATTGATGGTAGCCTGATTCAACTTCAGGATATGTTATTAATCATTTATATACTACTGCAGCATGACAGCAAGAACCAAAGATGAACGCTTACACAAGCAACGAAATGGAGCACCGTTTTAACTGCAGTCGAGTACAGTTCACCGTAAACCCTTCAACCCGGATAGACCCACTGGTCCACCCGTCTTTACAGACTCTTGCGTCACCAAAAGCTGTTCAAACTCACAAAACATACTTTAGATTCTGGTGAATGTCCTAAAGTTTCAAGTGATGTTAAAATATTTCAGGCTGAATTTGCAGAAGCACTCATAAAATGATGCTTAAGACACAAGACAGGTTTTGATTTGATGAAGTGGTGCATCCATTAAAAAACATACTTCCTCTTATTGTAAGCTTCACAGAATGACAATGAAGCATTGAAACAAGCTTATGAATGGTATGTAAGAAAATCATTTTCTTCTACTTTAAAGCCATTTAAAGGTTATAATTTTAGACCATCTCAGACTGAAACAAATAGAAGCTACGGCCCACCAGACCAGTAATTTTACCTTGCAGATAATCGGAAAACACACTTTAAACTGGACAGAAACAAAATAATATCATCTTTGTAGTCTTTCCCCTGTTCCAACAATCACCAATGCTGGTTTGGTCAAAATAAACCCTTAATTCGCAAGGATGTGAAAATATTCTCAAAACAAGCTACTCAGGATGCCATTCTTCTATCTTTACACAGAAAATAGTTGTTTGCTGCTATATTAATGTTCTAAATTTTGTATGACCTTTTGGTCTAGCATTTCAAGAGGAGGTTTTACAGATGTTACTCTGTAAACACTGACAAAGATATACAATAAGTGTGCTAAAATAAAAATATTTCCTGCAGGCATGGGGAGTGGTGGAAAGCAAGGTCACTGACAACCAACAAAGAAGGATTCATCCCATCCAATTATGTTGCCCAAGCTGACACCATGGAAACAGAAGAGTGAGTAGCTGCATCTCAATAAATTACTCAGTAAACTGCTTTTGATTTGTTTTCTGAAAAAGGTTTGATGTTTGATTTGACAAACATTTGGTTTCATGCTACAATTTACATCACAATGTATACTGTAGAAAAAGACTTCATCTACATGAATTACAGAGTGTGTACTATTGATTCTTTATTAACTTCTCATATTTAATCTACACTCACAAAGGATGATTTTCATGAATATTTAAAATATGTCCATTTTGTTTATTCAGTGCATTTCCTGTTCATTGCAGGTGGTTTTTCAAGGACATCACGAGAAAGGATGCAGAGAGGCAGCTGTTGGCTCCTGCTAACAAACCAGGCTCTTATCTTATCAGGGAAAGTGAAACATCAAAAGGTATGGAAATCACAATAGCCCCGAGAGACAGAGGCACATTCACAAACATTCTCCGCTTTCACTATATGGAATCGCTAGTCATTTTCTTTCACTTGATGGTTCTTCCAAAGGAAGCTACTCATTGTCCATCAGAGACGTAGACTCTCAGGGGACAGATTCAGTCAAACACTATAAGATCAGGATGATGGATAATGGCGGCTTCTACATCTCTCCTAAAATCTCCTTCAGTGACATCAGCGCCATGATCAAACATTACCACAGTGAGTATGGCTGGGATGAATGAATGGTGCTTGATATCCTTTATTCAAACAAATGTCCCCCTACTCCTCCAATATGCTTGGTATTCTTTGTTGATTTTGTTATTAGTTGTCTAAAGACCTTTACTTAGAAATGTAGACTTCATGGCTAATGTTTTCTTCCTAAAATTAGAATTATTTGAATATGCCAATTATGCATTACCACAAAATATTGAACACTAAAGTAAGGATGCTGTGGTTCTCAGTGTTTGTTTGTTTGTATCTTCCAGACAAAGCGGATGGCCTGTGTCGCAAACTGGACCGTTCCTGTGTAAAACCCAAAGCTCAGAAGCCGTGGGATAAAGACGCCTGGGAGATTTCCAAAGATTCTATTAAGATGGTGAAGAAACTCGGAGCTGGTCAGTTTGGAGAAGTCTGGATGGGTGAGTAAGGATAGAAATGTAGCCTTAATTCAACCAGTAACATTGACTAGGAACAGCTTCTTCTGCCCAAGAGTGGATAGAGGGGTTGGTCTCAGTTAGGACATGTGACTAAAGACAGCACACTGGCCCCTCAGGTTAGGGGGTTGGGCATGGTAATAATAACACCACAACGTGATAATAACACCCCGACAATGTGTTAATAACACCACCTTTTTTAACAAAAAAAAGGCTGCTGTGTGACATTTATCACAACCTCATTAACGTAGTACAGTTTTTCAGCATTATAACAGGTACATAAATCGAAAAGCCACTGTCATTTAAGTGTCTGCACATGTAAGGGATTAGTAAACGGTAAATGGACTGTACTCATATATGCACAGCATATATGACACATTTTGTGTCATATATCATGTCATTATAATGACTTACAGAATCATTTTTTTTTTCCAAAGCAGAAATGGGCTTCCATACAGTTGAGTGCATCTCTAAACATTTTTGAATCACTATGTTTCTTTTTTTAATTTAAAAAAATGTGAGGAAAGAAAAGGTGTATTTATTTTTTATATTCATGACTCAATTTCAATACTTTTTTCAATGTTATGGTTTATTAACTTATATAACCTTTTAGCTTAGGTTGTACAGATTTTAGGGATATGAAACATTTCAGGATACTCAAAGAAATTACATCACAATAAGCAAAACTATGTAGAAAAATGTAGGCACTGCCAGACCATTTCTATTGCAAAGGGCTTGTTGTTCAAATGGTTACACATTACGAGAGCCTCTGGGTACTCTGGTTACCTCTGGCCAAGTATATTTTACAAGTCCATTTCCACTTACTTTACTCTAAGACACCAATATGATTACCAAGAAGACAATCTGTGTGTAAGTCTACATTTCACATTGTATCTAATTTCACAGACATTTCTGACACCAAAAAACAGGAAGAGGAATTGAGCTTTTCCTTTTAAAATGTCTCATAGTCTAGGTGGTTAAACAAATGAAATGATGATGTATGAATTACATTTACCCATTTTAGTAATGCAAAACCTTCTACTGAAGAGGCAATCCTAATTTTTACGATTACAATTATCTTTGGTGCGAGAAAGAAGCTTCCACACAGTTACACCATACCCTCCCTAATGCATTTATATTAGCAGCTTTAAGATTACTGCAAATACCTTGACTGGACTAAAGGGGAATGTGTCTTGTTCACTTGTGCAGGTTGGAGGATTTCCAATTCCATTCTTGTATTTACTTTAAATTCAGAATTGAACAGTACGTGGAAGTTCCATTTCCCCCTAATTAAAACAAAAATGACTTCCTTCTTTTGTTACCCTTTAGGTGTATTACATAGTTTTAGGTCAGAACTGACTGCTGTTGTGTAAAACATACTCAGATGTTTCCATGCATGGCCCGGGAAGATCGGCGTTGTCAGTTTTATCATCTATGTAGGAAATGTGTGAGTCTGATAGGAGATTTGCATCAGACATTTGGGAGTGGTGATGACACACACACACACACA